GAATCAATCCAGAAAGATCCAATGAAATTAAGTTTTTTCGTCGTTCACATAATGTGTCATGCCCGCATAAAAGTGAAACACTGAACTATTCTTATCAAACATATTTTCAATTTGTGGAATTGAAATTCTGCTACTAAATCTAGTGAAATGCTTATGCAATGAAGAACACATGTATACTACTCTTAGATTCTCTTACTGCAACTACTTAAGCTAGTGTCCACGCCACGATAGTTAAAATCAACTATTTGTAATGAGTTTTGACTTCATGTTCGAAGTCAAGATGATATACTATAATCTCATAGAATTCTTACCGTTCGAATTGATGTCGATGTCGTTGTGCTGTATGATTTTAACTACAATGACTTTTATACCTCGTTTTATCGTATTCGATAGGAAAAATCCAATGACATGTAGTAGGTAATATACAGCATTTCATAATCGTATTGTTATTATCGAGCATATTTTATACTTATTAACAGTGCAATGATAAGAACGATAAAAACATGTTCGATAATAACAATATGATGAAGAAATAGTGTATATTGCCTACCACATGTCATTGGATTTTTCCTATCGAATACGATAAAACGAGGTATAAAAATCATTGCAGTTAAACTCATACAGCACAACAACATCGACATCAATTCGAACGGTAAGAATTCTATGACATTATAGTATATCATCTTGACTTCGAACATGAAGTCAAAACTCATTTCGAATAGTTGATTTTGATTGTGTCGTCTTAGCAATTAGAGCTTTGTCGCTTCTCCAGAAAGTATGAATGTTGAGATAAAATATTTGTTTCACGTTAAAATTAAAACATTATAGTTTACATTTTGACGTTTTTTCAAACAAAGCTCACCACTATGCGAGACTTTTTCAAGAATGTTGAGCAGCTATGGTTCTGAATTCATATTCAGTAAAAGACATTTTTATAGAACACGATTTCTAGTGAATTGTTTATGTATATAGTGAGAAAAGTGATACCTCTACATCCTGCTAATACAAGTAAATCGAAAATCTCTTCGTAATGTTACAGAACATGGCGAACACGTAGACATGCTTTGTCTTTGAGTTCGTGACAGAGAGTGAAGAATATGGTCAGGATCCTCATAACTATTTGAGCGATTTGTGTTTCGTATTTTAATCATGTACAGTATGCTGCGAAATATTTTCCCTCTTGTTTCCATAATATCTACATATATGACATATATTCACATAAAAGAATTCGAATTTTTCAGCTATCTCAATATGTATTTTTCAAAATATTAGAATTGTTCCTTTTAAAATATGGTCAGATCCTTTGTAGATATCCGACATGACTTTGGCACAGACCAATACGATTCGATCACATGTTGATAAATTTGTACAACAAAAATCTGATCATGAGTGGTTGATGATACCACTCAATTGTAAAGGTGGTAAAGATGAATTCAAAAACACAGTTGTCTATTCAACTTTTCCTGCCTCGTTGAATGGAACGGATTTTGGATATTATATTGATATGACATTTTGTGATATTCCAGACGATATGAGAAAAAAAATGAAAGGATTATATATTACAAATAGTCATTCTTTTCAACAGGAAGATATTGTATTTGATTATGGAACTACCAATGGAAAGATATCGGCATCGCTACTTCAAGTCATAGCACAAAAGAATAGTGCTAGAGAGTTAGAAGTTGTTGTTGGTGTTATTTCTCTTGTTCGAACACCCGAGAGTGGTTGGCACTTCAATAACGATTATTGGCGAAGTGACAAAGATCGAGTAAAAAGAGGTTTACAATACATATTTGGAAATGAAGCTCAAAAAGAACTTTCGTATAAATAACCATAGTGCTCATTCAGAGTATGGACGTACTAAAATACTATCAAATTGTGATTGTCATAATATATGATATGCTAGTTGATTTATTTTAGTAAAATAAAATTTATACGCATTCATTACACGAGAATCAGCAGACTCTAATCTGACGTATCATAGAAGTTGAGTATTCAATGTCTAACTAATAAGATGCATTTTGATGTAACTAAAGATCTGATCAGGTAGATATTCTGATATTCTACGTAAGTTTCATCAAGAATTCAAAAGTTCGATGAAAAGCTTCTCATATTCTTCTATCGCAATTCCCTTGCGGCTTTGATGATATTTCGATCATCTAACTATCTGTCGCTGACTGAAAAACAAAACAATTATGGCACTCGCTTTCGCTCTTCTCTCGATCATACACAGAACAAGATTCAGAAGGAAGAATCAGAATAGAAAATTTGGTTATTTGATTTTTGTCGCACATAGACAAACAGTGTTCACACTTGTTTTGTATTTAACCCTTTTGTGGACGGGGTTTTTTTGAAAAAATTAAGGTTTTTATCAAAATTCAAACAAATACTTACTCAGTTAAAAATCATTATCAAGAATGTTTTACGATACGATAAGCTG